GATGTGGGTTGTTTTTTTCCCCGGAACAAGGCGTCTTCCAAGAGTCCCGTGGTGGAGGTGGGTTGGCACAGCGGTAGCACCACGGTAGGGTCTCTCAGCTCCCTGCGGGGCCGGGGCCCTGTGTGGTTCGTGGGACTCGCCCATCCCGTGGGAGCCCTTCATTCCAACTTCCTACGCTTTTTGGTCCAAATTGCCTAAGGCAAGGCTGAGTTTCATCAGTGTCGTGTTTTGGGTTGCTGCCTTTAATGCAGCACAGTCCATTAGGGAAATGGTGGAGAGGGCTACGCTCTCACAGTGTCTGTAGATAATGTACGATAGCACTGACACTGCCTCTGTGGTACCTGGTCTTGTGCATAGGTACCCTCCAGGCTGATACCTGTGGACTATGTGTGAACGCTGACTACCAGATACTCACTAATTCTCTTGTTAAAGCTTCAATCGTGTTGTGATTAAATGAGCAAAGAGACTAGTTTTAGGAGACCACTGCTCAAACATAGGTCTGCAGTGCCCTGCCACAGTCTTACTTTCTTACTCTCATCTCCCACACATAATGTCTGCCTGTAGAAGTCCACAGCCTTAAGAGAAAATGTGGCTGTAGCTCTTAAAGCTCCTGTGTCATACTCAAATGGTATGGAAGCTGCTGCTTTTTTTCTTTCCACTGTGGATGCCTTTGTTATTTCCTTTGTGTACAAGGAAGCTGAAGGGAAGTATTCAGGAGTAAGAAGATAGGGTGCTAGGGCACAGCTAAAGCAATATATTCTTGCTTTGAATCCAATCTTGTGCCATCAGAGGCAATCAAAAGCAGTTTTCATCACTGTATCCAAGTTTCATACAATAAAATAACTATCTTTCCAGACCAAGCTTTCATCCTTGTAGGAACTGATTTGCTGCAGGCTTACTAATGATTACATTATTTCTCTGTAGGAACAGGTTATATGAAAACAGGTTGTGTGATCATCCTGAAGCTGTCCAAGCCTTCAGTCCTGCACTATTTCTTGTACACCACAGTAAAAAGAGGTTTTGAAACCATGGAAAATACATGATCCAGCCCTCCAGGAATGCAGAGTATTTAATAAACAACATAGAAAAAGGATATTCTAGGTGAAGATAACATTGGTGTTCCAGGAAAATATAAAAACATTACTAGGAATACATTCTGATCTGTTTTTAGTAGTGTAAATTCAGAGTCAGAAACTACGGTAGACTTAGTTGTGTGATTTGGGTTGCTGGCTTTTGCTGTGGCTGTGTTTGGGATAGGCTGACCAGGGCAGCTGTGGCATGGCCTTTCTAGAAATAATGTGTTTCTGAGGATGCACTGAGGTGAGGCTACCAAGCATCAGAAATGTGATGGAGAATAGTATGAGCACTAGCATGCTTAAAAGAGATTCCATGTGCTGGAATCTATTTGCTGTGGGAAGTACTTGTATGGTATGGCTTTCTCATGCATCCTTTCCTCCAGATTACTGCAGAGTCTGACAGTGATTGAATTTTACTGTTTTGGGCTAATTCCAGATATCCCAGAGGGACAGATAGGTGGCAAGAGTGCTGCTGGATTGAGTTACAAGCCTCCCAGCTGCAGCTGAGTAAGGATCTATTTGACAGGGAGTGCCTTGGAGCGGGGTGAGGACCCATGTGTGCCATGCAAGAACAGCAGTTTGCTCTTGTTTTGCCAGCTGCAGGGCTTCTGGGAGGTCACTGCTCAGCATCTGTACTTGGGCCCAGTTGCTTGTCTGAGGTGTTGCGCTTTTTGTTGACTCTGCCTCAGAAGTGGAGAACATACTCTCAGGGCTCTGCCATTATGGAAGACATAGATACACTTGAAGCTGTATTTTCTCACAGCAAAGTTAAACAGTAACTTAACTTGTGGGGTAGCTTTCATAGGGTTGCAACACACAGTAGTCTGCTTTCAGTGTATAGTGTAGACCAAATGAAACGATAACAATTTAAGTGATACAGCCTCTTTATTACAGCTGACCATGGGTTTGCTTCAGAATTCCTTTAGGAATTCAGTATGACTGATTGGTGGATGATCCTAATGCTGGTTAGCAGCTGGGGGAAGAGTTATTCCAGTTAACTCCAGATGGTTATGTAAATGTTTGTGAGGTGCAGTTTCTTGCTCCTGTGCGTGTCTGTGTGGGCTTGAGTTTTCACAGTCTAGCAGTATAATTTCTAATGATCTTTGCACTTAGCTAACAGTATTTCCATTTGTCTGTACTTAACTGTAGAAACTGTTGTTTATCAAAGGTTCCCTTTTGAAAACTGTAGTTCAGATGCACTGATTCTGGCAAATGCATTGTTATGCTATTTGGCATCCTGTGTCTGATGTGGGCAGCTTAACTTTTGATTAGTATTCCAGCTGCTGTTACTTCCTTAAAACTCACATTCTCCACCCAGCTGAACAGTGATAAACAGTTTTCTTCATCAAAGTCAGTAGCCAGGTTGTCTTGGGCTGCTTGTGAAGGAAACCTGAAGCTGAATTCTCATCATTAGTGTGTAAACTCATATTTGTACTATGTCAGAATGCTTAGTCAGTGGGATGCTTGCAAAATCTATAGGAGTCCTGAATGGAGTTTCACAAATTTTGAGTCTGAAGTGTCACAAGGTTTAAACAGGAAAATGACACTACTGACTTTACCCAGTTTCTAAGATTTTTTTTTTTTTTTTTTTTTTTACTTTTGAGTTCTAAGGTAGTCTTGGTGTACTCTAAGGTACCTTGGTGTACTGGAAAGCTTTTTTAAGACATGAAAATGAGATTATGTAGATGGAGGTTTAAGAAAAACATCAGAAAGTTTGCAGAACATGATAAAATGATGGTGTTCAGCAACGCAGCCCACTTGGGTTTGAAATTGATGGCTTAGTTCTTGATTCCACTCCCTCTTCCAGTTCCTTAAATGATCCCTTTGTAGGTCACCTTGTTAACTTAGCACATAGTGGTGGCCAGAAAACTTGATTTTGTAGCAGGAACTTGTACTTGCAACTGTGTGCAAGAACATATGCCTTTATACCTCTGATGAACTAAGCCTGGGAAAGTGTGATTTTTAGCGAAAGCATGGATTTGTTCTGTTGACACATTTTTGTCTCCAGGTCTGCTTCTCTTCATCCTCAAGGCCTTGTTAGAAATGGAATTGCATTCTTGTCACTAAAATCTACTTCAGTGTCTCAGTGTGGATGCACACAAGTTTCTTTATCTGATTTCTGTATCTACATTATATAAAACCTGGTGCAAATTTCTATCCACCTTTTTGGAAACATGCTCAAGACTCCCCATTTCTGGGTTTTCCCAGGGTTTCTGGGTTTTACCAAGAGCTTGCTGGCTTCCTGCATGTACTGTCCATCACTGTCCTGTGCAGTTTTCTGCTTTGTTGTGGTAATTAACAGGTTTCCTGTTAATAATGTATTGAGGAAAATACTGACTCCTAAAAGGGGTTGATACCTCTGAGACGTGACCAGATTATCACTGTTTTAACAGAACCTTGGAGGGTGAGCAATTTTTACCCTTTGATTGCCTCTTTACATAGCTGTTGTTGCTCAAAAGGAGCACTGTAGGAAATGAAAAACACATGTCCTGTTTCGTGTCTGTTCCTCATATCTCTCCAATGTCATAACTGTGACTTCTGAACTGTTCGTCCTAATGCTCCTAAAACACTGCTGTATGTTTCCTGTGCTCTTGCATAGCAGAATCTGAGACCAATTTTGACGGAATTGAAAGCAAGTTTTCCTTACGGACACCTTTAGAGCCTGATGAGGATGTCTGCTACCTGGTTCCTGGGCAGGTGGACACCTTGGCACAATGCAACTTCAACCATACCAGTAAAACCTTTGTGGTTATCCATGGGTGGACGGTAAGAAGAAAGGGGAAGAAGCTTCCTTTTAAGCATACTCCTGATAAACTGTGCTAGACGCCTCAGCTGAGGTGTCTGTACATCACAGATAATAAGATAACTCCTTTTCTTAATTAAAAAAAACAACCAACAGGTGACAGGAATGTATGAAAGTTGGGTCCCGAAGCTGGTGGATGCTCTCTACAAGAGGGAACCGGATTCAAATGTCATTGTGGTGGACTGGTTAATTCGAGCTCAGCAGCACTATCCAGTGTCTGCTGCATACACTAAGCTGGTGGGAAAGGATGTTGCTATGTTTATCGACTGGATGGAGGTAAGACATGTGGTCGTATGTCTCTCATCATACATAATGTCCTAGGGGACAAAACAGCAATGATGCAGCTGTGTTGATTGTATCATATTGGGTAGATGGAGTCAAGATGTTGCAGACAGTACTTCTGGTGGACTGGTAAAATCCCTGCTTTAATTTAATGGTTGCCTTTTACACAAGGAGGCCTTTTAGAGTGCATTCCAGAAACTTCACCTGTGGTCTGTGATGCCCTGTGAGTCCATATTATTTCTGAAGGATCTGTGAGAGGTAGCTGTGAAAGACAGGTTCCTCTGTGTTATATAGCAGCCTGCCCTTGGGGATACAGAACTCTGCCCTGCTTTTGGGAAATTGTTAGGAGATCCAGAAACTGGTGGGGAGGGGATGGCTGGAAACCTTTGATATAATACACAGCCCTGCTTAGGTTTTTGCCTTAAGTTAGTTAGCTTTGTGCCATACTAGGTCTACTGAGTTATGTTAATTGTATTTAGTGTTTCTTCTTCATGGCTTAAAGAGAAGTCCCAGTGTTTACAAAACATTTTCCATTGTCTTGGTGTTTTCTGGTTTTACTTCAGACTTTAAACAAATCCCTGTCTTCTGCAGGAGCAAGTCAACTATCCTCTCAACAATGTCCACTTGCTGGGGTACAGTCTAGGTGCTCACGCTGCTGGGATTGCTGGGAGCCTGACCAAGAAGAAGGTGAACAGAATTACTGGTAAGAAAACCTATGGTTGTAGAGTACAGAGTGTTGTCTGTTTCATGCAGAAATACTACATTCCTCTGGAAAATCACCAGAATAATTGTTGCTTGTTGGCAGTACTTAGTTTATGTGTTCATTCTTTACTGAGTCAGCAGGGCTGATATTTCTGCAGTAAAACTGGAAAAGGTTCAGAAAAGAACAACAAAGATGCTGAGTTTATCTGTTCCTGCACAAGAAATGACTGAGTATGAAGGGATTCACTGGCCATGAAAAGAGACTAGCTGGGGCGGGATGTGATCAAGACTGGCCAAATCTGTGGCTTGGAGTTAGTCACAGTATCTCTTGTAGCACAAGAACAGCTTGTTGCTTTCATCCATACAATCATCCTTTGCAATTGGTGGGAGCTGTTCAAGATGAACTGGAGGCAGATCTTCCTGCAGTGGATGACCTACCTGCAGAGCTCTTTGCCATGGGATGCTGTGGACGCAAGAAGTTTATGTGGTCTCAAAGGGAGACTGGACAGATAATAAGAGATTGTGGGTTACTAAATAAATATTCCTAACAGGCTCAAGTAATATTCAAGGCTGAAAATAACACTGGGAGAATTGGGGAGTGAAGTGTGTGTCTGCTTGCCCTGTTCCTCTGCATACTTAAATGTCTGCTTAGGGCAATTTTTGGCAGCTGAGAAGTCTGCTAGACAAGGCAGAGTGCACGGCCACTATGGGGCTGGTTTACAGCCCAGCACCTGGAGATCTGAGCCCCTACCACTGATCTCGGTGACGAAGGGAATGCCAACATCAGCAAATGAGTAAGAAAATCACTCATCTGCGGTGTCTTCACTGCTGAAAGTACATAAGACCCTACTTCCCTTCCTCCTGGCACCCTTTGTCCTTTCACCTAAGCCTGGCTGTGATCCCAGACCCACAGACATACTGGAGGGTGGGCTAGGCAGCAGTTGCATCAGGCAAGGCTGACTCCTGAGAGGTGAGAGATTAAAATGTGGATGCCAAAGCACTAGTCCCTCTACCCTTCCTTTCCCTCAGCTGCAGTTTTGTTGCTTTCACAAAATCTACCAAATCACTCAAATACCAGTAGCCCTCTGTTATGCCCCCATGGTTGCCTTCAGTGCCCAGGATGAACCTTTCCATGGGAAAGCTACATCACTTCTGAGCTCAAGGAACAATGGGATGTGGTCCCTGAAGTCCTCGGAGCAGGAGCAGGCAGCTCAGACTGGGTGAGGCTAACCAGGGGTTGGCAACCCAGGTGCCTGTCCCCAGATGAGGGATGCAGGAAGGACATTTCCCTTCAGCTCTGCTGCTCTGCCTTCAGCTGTCTCTCAAGTAGTTGTTTGGGTTCAAGAGAGAGTACTTGTTCACTGGCAGAGTAGTTCTGGGTGTTTTTGATGTCAGTGTTGCTGCAGCTTGACAGTTTACCATAATAACATCCTTCTTGTTAGGCATGTAGACAGGGAAAGTCTTCTTTTGTTTCCCATTTGTTCCCCTAGCAGGGAGTTAGCAGTGAGACATTTTCCACATTTCAAACAGATTTTTTTACAATTCCTCTGTTTCTTGACAAAAGAGGAAGATGTTAAGAAAATATTTACTAGCTTGTTTCTTCCATTCACTGGAAATGCTACAGCTGTGAGGAAGTTATCTGGGCTTTACATTTGTTTGCATACACATTTTAAATAGCAATGACATTTCAGGGTAGTATATTTGATTCTCCTGTACGCATGAATGCTACTCAAATGATCCCACTGTAGTGTCCCCAGTGACACCAACACTGTATGCAATACTTTGGCCCAAAGTGGTAGCTGAGTTTGGCATTTGTTACCACTGTCAGTGTCTCTGGCAGACAATCTCAGGTTTTTCTTTGGCTTGCCTCATAAAGGGCTGGATCCAGCTGGTCCTACCTTTGAGTATGCTGATGCCCTCACCCGCCTCTCCCCGGATGATGCTGACTTTGTGGATGTCCTGCACACCTATACTCGAGGTTCTCCAGACCGCAGCATTGGGATCCAGAAGCCTGTTGGACACATTGATATTTATCCTAATGGTGGAGGTTTCCAGCCAGGCTGCAACTTGGGAGAAGCACTCCGTCTGATTGCTGAAAAAGGCTTTGCAGGTGAGGCTGCTCTGAAACAAACGGTATAACATCCAAAGGGAGATCTTCAATAGCCTGTAGGTTTCGCGCAAGCGATGATCTCTTTGAGAAGCACAGAAACTTGTTCTTTTAGGTGCTTGCAAAAGTCACCCTATAAAGCCCAGCTCTGTCACAGGGGTTTGTGCCTGTCAACAGCATTGCTGAGGGTTTTGTAATGTTGTGTGTGTACATACTACACATTTTCTTTCATTAAAGATGTGGATCAGCTGGTGAAATGTTCTCATGAACGATCAATCCACCTCTTCATTGACTCCCTCCTTTACAAAGAAAAGCCCAGCATGGCCTACCGCTGCAATACAAAGGAGGCCTTTGAGAAAGGTCTCTGCCTAAGCTGCCGGAAGAACCGCTGCAACAATTTGGGTTACAAGGTCAACAGAGTGAGAACCAAGAGAAACACCAAAATGTACTTGAAGACCCGTGCTCAGATGCCGTATAAAGGTAGATACTCCAAGCTTACTGGCAGCTGGTGCTTTGCTCGGCTGTGTGTCAGGGTGGTGGTGCATGCTGCAGGTCACTATTGCTGCTTTTGTGCCTGTGGAGAGCAGGGGTGAGGCTTGCGTGCCGTCTGCTGTAAGCCCAAGCTGAAGTGCAGTCTTAAAAAAAACAGTGTTACCTTACTTAAGGTGTGGAGGTGGGGGGGTAGAAATACAAAAAGGAATGTATTTTGTCACAAGTTTAAGTAGCAAAATTAAGAGTATTTACTCTGCAACCTGGTTACTTGGAACAATTGACTCTTCCAAACTTTTTTCACTGTTCATCCAAATGAATTTGTCCTATTCCTGGGAAAATAATCAGCAGACTCAACCTGATAAGCAACTTCTTTAAAGGTTGTAACCATCAGACTTGTACCCAGAGGAGCACCAGCCCTGGTTAAAATATTAGTTCTTGATTCCCATTGCCACAGTAGTAGATCTGAGAAGAATGTTACCAGAAAGAATTGGAAAGCTTTCAGCTGGGGAAATAGCTTCTGAGTTGGATTTTACTACTTTTTTTTTTTTTGCTCCTTAGCTTTGACTGTGCCACATGCTATGATCATTGTGAGCATTGTGTGATGAGGGCACATTTCCTGCAGTTTTAGAACAGCTGCAAGACTAGTGTTTTGTTGGCATGTGGTACTTAATCTGCAGTGTCAGTGGGCTGATTTATTGCCTGCCCCTCCCCCCCACCCCCCCCAAGGCTTCTGTATAAGAAGGGCACATAACAAGCTTGCTTGTTTCAAGTCAAGAATGGCAGTTCTTAAACATTTATTACAAGTTTGAAGGCGATACACAGGCCCTGGAGTTGTTATAGTGACACTCGCCTTACCTTTGCAACTAACCTGCATTTGTTTTTTAATCATGATTCCCTTGCATCCTAATCTTTAACTCCTCACAAAAATAGTTCCCTGGATACCTGCAGGGAGCTGAACTAATTTTAATGGTAGAGCATATTCCAGTCCAGGATTTACATAGTTTTTTTTCATGGTTTTGTCACCAGCAGTCTCTTTGTATGTTGAGTTTTTTCCTAATGGCCTTTTCATTTGTGTTCTTCCAGTCTTTCATTACCAAGTCAAGATCCATTTCTTTGGAAAGACTAATATGACCAAGACAAACCAGCCATTCCTGATCTCTCTCTATGGCACTCTAGATGAGAGTGAGAACATTGCTTTCACACTGTGAGTAACTTCAGAAAGAACAGTGATGCTGAGTCTACCTAACTCTGTTAAGCTCTGGCTGAAAAACCTGTTCTGCCTCCAGCTACAGAAATCTTAAAGTCCCAGAACCTGCACTTATCCTTGATCAAGGGAACATAACCACTGCTGAAGCTAATGATCTAAGCTGTACAGGAGGTGTTCTTAATAAGGGATCTGAAATATGGAAATGTGAAGTCTGACCTGTGGCTCAGCCTACTAAGAATTTTTCTGGTGTGGCAGGTTTCTGGTTTTCTTCTTTTCAGTATCTGTATGCTGCACTTCAGTGTTAAAGCCCCTTAAATGCAGACTGCTACCTGGAGTTGTCTGATGGGTCTGAAGGGCCTCAGTGCAGAAGCTGAGGGAGACATGGGATTTGCTTCCACATCTGTGTAAATAAGCAGAAATTTGTGCTTCCATCCCTGCACTAGGGCTGGCAGGGAATGGGGCTGGAAAGCACCAAGCTCTGTTTCTTACTCTGAGGAACCTAAGCTGATCCTGGCTATTGCTTGTTTGGCTTCTAAGAGATACCAGCACTGGAGAAGACACCCCTTGCCTGGCAGTGTGTCCCTGGGTTTTACTAGCCTTGCTGCAGAAAGCTTTTCCTTGTGCCCCTACAAAAGCTGCTTCTTTCACTGAAGTACATAAAGTCCTGGTTCTATATTTTTTTTCCCCCTTGATTTTCTTTCTGTCCAACAGTTTCCTCTTTCGTTTTCCTTATTCCCCTCCCCACAGGCCTGAAGTCTCCTCAAACAAGACCTTCTCCTTCCTGATTTACACTGAAGTGGACACTGGTGACCTGCTTATGCTGAAGCTGCAGTGGGAGAAAGATACCTTCTTCAGCTGGTCAGACTGGTGGACTCCTTTTACATTTCACATCCAGAGAGTCAGAGTGAAGTCAGGAGAAACTCAGAAAAAGTAACTTGTTTTGAATATTATAAGCTGTATTGGTTTTAATTGACAGCGTTTCCTGGTTTGTGGTATCTTGCAGGGCAGGACAAAACATGGAAAGCAGTTACAGATGGGTGTAGCACCGATTAATCAGGGCTCTAGTGGCACTGAACTGCCATTTATGTCAGCCAGGTTGAGTAGTTTGCTTCCACGGGGACCTGCAATCTGTAGTTTTATTCCTACACAATTTATATGCTGTCTTGTGTGTCTCAGGTTAGTTGTATGCAGAAGAGGATCTTCATGAACCAGCATCTCTGTGTCTGCAGTTCTTCTCCTTTCTCTTGCTGCACACTTGGACAGGTTTTCTTGTGAAGAGCATGCTTAGAAGGAGAATTTTGGAAACACTTCCAAAAGTGTGTTTGCACAGAAATTGTTGTTAAATTGGATTTTTAGGAATTGGGAATACCTGAAATACCTGGGTGAAAACTGGAACACATGATTGTAGGACATTGCTAATGCATGGTTGTAACAACAGCAGAGTCTGACCAGAATATTAATCTTATATTCACTAGACATGAGATCTGTTAGCAGAAATGGACAGAGAACAGAGTATGCATGTCATATGTACGTTATTGTGCATAACGTGTTCCTTCTTTGAATAAACAAGGCAGTCACTTTATCAAAGAACACTTATCAGAGCTGAACAAATACAGGGGTGGGGAAAGTACTGATAAATGGAAAAGCAACTCCTCAGGTTTGCTGGAATTGGCAACCTACTTTGTTTGCAAACATTTGAGGGAGTAAGGCTTTCTTCCAAGATCATTCACTTGACATAAGTCACACAGGGACTGGTGTAAATAAAGGTCCAAGAGACTTTGAGATAGAACTGCTGTCTTAGCCACAAGATTTTATGCAAAAACCACTGAAGGTTAGGGCTACAGTTTGAGGTCCATGCATAATGCATTTGCCAGTTTTGCTTGCACAGTGTTTCTTTAGTCACTGACTTCTCTTTAAAGGTTTCTCACAAGCTTGTAAAGGGGTAGTGCCCTTCCTGACCAAGTATAAAGACTGCTTCCAAGCACCAGTCCTGTTTCTATGGTTAAAAAGAGACATCTGGCTCAGCCTTGTGATTGTCCAATATTTATTCCACAGGGTGGTGTTCTGTGCTCGAGATGGGACCTCAAATCTCAGTAAGGGAGAAGAGGCAGCAATATTCGTGAAATGCTTGGAACAGCCTGTGAATAGGAAGAGAGGAGGGTATGAGTGATCACTTGGTTTTGGGTTGGGGAAAGCTTCAGTGGTAACAGGAGGATCTCAAAACTTCCTAATTTAGTTGACATGTGCAATAGTCTTCTCAAGGCTTCAGAAGCATCATAACTCATAACAACCTGAGGTTTACTTACGGCACCTTCAGTATCTTAAAAACCTCTAACTTTGTTGGCAAGCCATCTCTTTGTGTGGTTTAACGTGTCTGAAAAGCAAGTAAAAGTCACTGCCTCACATTTGCATGGTGGCAGAGTATAAATGACCATTAGGGCTTACGGGCAAGACACAGACACAGGAAAACCTGTTTCTGTCTAAAAATGCCCTACACTTTACGCTTAACTGCAGAAGATCTAAACATTAGCCCAGAGCTCTCCCTCCTCACTGACCAGCAGCATAATTGGAGGCTGGTGCAGAAACTAAGCAGGCATACACAGGTGCTCTTCCTTATACACTGCTTTCTGCTGACAACTGCTGGGTGAGTCACCTCCTGAGATTTGCATCTCTGATTTGGATCAGAGGTTGAGTCTTTGTGTTTAATAGCCCTTGGTGAACTTTAATTTTTAGATCAGTAATTTTTCTGACCCAGAGTAAACTTTCAAATCTGAGGCCAGATTTATTTGGACTTTATCCACTCACGTTTGAGCTGGAGAAGTGGTTATATTTATTTTAATGCAATTGGTCTGTGTGAAAGGTCTCATGGGGACACTTCTAGACTGAGATTTAGTTCTGCATTAAAAGGCATGTGTGCTGAACCTTCATTCCAGGGCAATGACCTGGGGAGGCCTTGAGAGCTCTGTGTGTGTATTTGACATGTGTAAAATCAAGCAGCAGCAGCCAGGAAAAGCTTCAGCGCATAATTTATTTTCCTGTTAAGATTAGAAAAAAGTACTAAAGTCTCAAAAATAAGACAAAAAGGAACAAGTATTTTATGTCTTCCTCTTCACCTTATCTCTTTTTTTTTTTTTTTTTCCCTCCCTACAAGTGCCAAGAAAGCCTCTAAAGAAAATTCTGCTTATGAATCTGCTTAGTGACAAGAATGAAGATTTCCTCACTGGGGAGGAGGAGAGTCTGTTCGTCCCTGTGGACTGGATGTTCTGAACCAAATATATAGAAATATTTATCTGTTACTGGCTTTTTGCCTGCTATTCCTGGCTATCTTAGGAGACTTCTTGTAAGGAAGTTTCAGTAGAGAAAGTTACTAACCATAAAGACGCATTATCCAAATAGTTAAAAACAAACCAAAACCTGCAAAACAACTTGCCAAAGGCTTGAGTGCTGGGAAGAAATAAGTAATTTTGCATAATCATGGTGCCTTGTGACAAGGTTTCTTGACATCAAATCCTCTATAACAATTTTGTAGTATTTATCAAAAAGAAGCAAAGCCCTGTACCTGGCTTGTCTGACTTTTCTGTAGTCTTCTGAAACTGGACAGTTTGGTGTGTGGGTTTTCTTGGTTTTTTTTTTTTCCTAGCTTGGCTAACTGGATTTTCAGACAGTTCAGTGGCTAGAGTTCATTGTCCTCAAGTTTGTGTTTATCAAATGAGTAGGTTTCTCATGTGAAAAACCTTTGCTGTGTGTATTACTAAAAGTTGTCAGGGATCGACTTAATATAGGGATGAATTTTCTTGTTTGTGGTTATGAATGTGTTTTACTGGGGGTAGATGCCAGTGCTGTTTAGCAACAGGTATGATCTGTTAAGCTATATATTTCTATGCAGCTTACCCTGGAATAAATAGCATTTGTGGAGGACAGAAATACTACTGTCCTATGCAGATATTCAACTTTCCATCTGTGCTTTCATTCCTTGAAAATCAAACCATCTAGCTTCTCAACACTTTGTGAATAAAGAACTGCAAAAGAATTGAGCTACCAGAAACTGCAGGAAACAGATTCCCTCCGCCCCCCTGCCCCTCCCCACTTGCTTGCATCCTATGTGCTGAAGTTGTGACAGTTTCTCTGCTCTTTGAAACCAAATGTCAGTCATGCAGTTGAGTGGCTGCTGTGTGAGGTCTTCAGTTCAAGTGAAACTGCTTGACAGGTGACAAGCACACTCACGCTGCCCTGTGCTGGAACTGTGACTGCCAGTGACCTACCTCGGTTTGTTACTTGGCTGTGATAGTGCTAGATCCTAGGATCTTGGTTTTGTGACATGAGGTGGAATTCAGCAAGAAGCAGGAGCTGTGAGTTAGAAGGAGCCTAATACAAGGGAGCCTATTCTTGTGTGATGCACAAGAATGAATGCTCTGAAAAACACTTGAATTAGATCATGCTGCAAGTTGCCAAAAATAGATATATTGAAAGCATTAGGCTTCCCCTTTTTTAAATAACACATAATTTTTCTAGTGCCTGGAAAGGTTCAGTAGCCATCTTTTAGCTTACTAGAAGATAAACAAAATACTGGGGAGGCAGAAGAGCTTGATGGTAGACACTTGGAGAAGTGTAATGTGAGCTATTGGTGCTGGTTTTCTGTAGTCTCTTCCTGCATGTGCAAGACAGTGTGGAGGTGGTGATTTCTCCAGTGTCATCCCATCTTGAAAGCAAAACCAACATGTATGTGTATATGTGCAGGTTTTTTTTTTCCAGCCATGGCTGCTAGTATTTGGGGATAAAAGTCTTAAACAGTGCAATATGTTGGAATATTAATAACTCTGAAATTGCTCACATTTGATTTCCTAACCCTTAAACTACAACAGAGATGTGATGAGTCACTGAGGGTGTAGTTGAGTATTGAGCCACTGCATTTGAGACCTCTAAAAATAAATATAACGATTTATTCCCTATAGACTTCACATTATGTTACGATTCTCTTAACAGTTAAGGTCTATTCAGACACTTATTTCCAAAGGTGTGCTCTTAATACAGGATCAAATAAAAACATATACAGAACTTAGATACTAAATAGTGATGGTTCTTGTACATGAGGACACATGATTTAGCTTTGGATGTTATTTATTAGCTGTAAATAAGATATTTATGTGTGTAAAGGTAGTTTGTATATATTGCTAAAGTTGCTGACACTCTACATCAGTAGTTGTGTGGTATTAATCCTGTATATAGCTTTCAGAGATTTTTTTATCAACAAACCACTTACACAGCATTATTTCCTATGTGGTTAATATTTTTTTTTTTTAAGGAAAGCTCTTCAGTTTTGTACAGAATGGAAACCTGTGGTTTTAATAAAATTCTCAAACCGATGTTGAAGTTGCTAGTTTCATTTTAATGAAAGTATATGTTATAAATCATTTACATGAAGGCCACAGCCTTTTAACCTGGATTCTGGGGTGAAAAGATGATGGGGTAAACTTTTTTTTTAAAAAAAAAAACAAGATCTTTTTTCTTTTTTTTTTTCCTTTTCCTAAATCATGAATCAAAATATCAAGGAATTATGAAGTGCCAACATGTATCTTGTAAAGGCTGAGAGGGCTTGTTCAGCCTGGAGAAGAGAAGGCTCCGGGGAGACCTTATTGCAGCCTTCCAGAACCTGAAGGGGGCCTACAAGGAAGCTGGGAGGGGACTTTGTACAAGGGCCTGTAGTGACAGGACAAGGGGGAACAGGTTTAAATGGAAATCAGGGAGGTTTAGATTAGATATCAGGAAGAAATTCTTCACAGAGAGGGTGGTGAAGCACTGGAACAGGTTGCCCAGAGAAGCTGTGGATGCCCCATCCCTGGATGTCTTCAAGGCCAGTCTGGATGAGGCTTTGAGCAACCTGGTCTTGTGGAGAGTGTCCCTGCCCATGGCAGGGGCTTGGAACTATATGATCTTAAAGGTCCCTTCCAACCCACACCATTCTATGATTCCATCCCTATTGGAAGAGAAGTAGCTAGTTAACTGCAGTCTGTGGTTACCAACTTTCATGCCCTTTTAAGGAACAACTGCTAATTAGAAAGGCTCACTTCCTATCTATGACAGAACTACAAGCTATGCAGAACTATGCTTCTGCTCCTCACTGTTCTAAAATAGAGATGTTCTGACCTTATGGGTACAGGAGATAAGCACCAGTCCCTTACCACCACCACCATTTAAGGGAGCAGCAGTGAAAAACCACTTTGACCCACATCTGAGCACAGCTGAGCTCGAGTGGTTGTCACCAGAAGAGTTTGCTCTCTGTGATGAATGGTTAGGCTCTACTGAGGCCCTTGGCAGGGGAGTGCCAGAATTAAGGAGAGTTGTTATGATGTGCATATGAGTGACAATATTGGGAGTGTTTAGTTGGCTTGGGAGACACTGCTTCCAATGCTCTTGGTCAAAGAGACTCCTCTTTGACAGAAAGAGAGCTCCTTTGTGAAAGCAGAGGTGGAGTATGCAATGAAAAATGGATGGGCACAAAGGATGAATGCAGGAGAGGGATGGAGGGAGAAGCATTGGAGAGGGAAGGGAAGGTGGATAGGGAGTATCTGGGGGAAATGAATGGAAGAGGGAAGATGTGGGATGGGAGAATGCATGGAAGGTGTCCCTGCCCATGGGACCTTCCAACCCTAACCATTCTATGATACTATGATTCTATGGAAATGCTGGTAGTGGGTGTTGTAAGGTCACTGCTGCTTTCCCTGTGTCAGTGGCTGGCCTGGGGAAGTGGAAGGACTCCTACAATTGTACAACATAAGGGCAGTGACCACATCTCCTAAAAGCACCATGATATTATTACTCTTAAAAGCCACAGCAATTTTATTATGGTAAACATATTATTAGATAAAGCAGAGAAATGTTTTTGGTGTAGAGACAAAAACACGTCTCTCCTGTGAGCATTCAGAGCCATCCCTGGCCCTACTTTTCTTCCATCTGCCTCTGCAGTGCCTAGCCACACTGGGAAAGGTGATGATTTAAATTGAAAGTGGGGAGGTTTAGATTAGAGATCAGGAAGAAGTTCTTCACGGAGAAAGTGGTGAAGCGCTGGAACAGGTTGCCCAGAGAGGTGGCAGATGGTCCATCCCTGTCTGTCTTCAAAGCCAGGCTGGATGAGGCTTTGAGCAACCTGGTCCAGTGGAGGCTGTCCCTACCCATCTCAGGGGGGTTGGAACTAGATGGTCCTTAAGGTCCCTTCCAACCCAAACCATTCTATGATTCTGTGATGCCTGCTCATTCTGCCAGCTGTCTCTGGAGAGGGCTATGCTGGGGATAAACTGTCCTATGGCTAACCAGTGTCTTGAACAGACACAGAGAGTCATTCTTGTCTGGAAAGAAAGGGTGAAGTAAAGGATTTCAGAAAATGTACCAGCAAGGCAAGGAAGTCCTGACTCAGGTGCTTGGTGCCTAGATATTATTCCTACATAATTCATTCTGAGAAGCTTTTGGAACCAGCAATGAATGTGCTGTCTGTAGGTGTCTCCATACTCAATTAGCAGTTGGGTAGTTAGCTGATCTGACTCCCTTGCTGATGCACCATCTTCATAGGTCCCGGAAGAGCAGCACCTGGTTTTGCATCAGGGGGCGCTCACTTTAAACATTAGATTGCAGAAGGCAAGAGTAATATTTTATCATCCGGAGCCCAAGATTAGTTCCTCTATAAAAACAGAAAGCACTCGATTCAGCACTGAGAAAACTGCTCCTCTTTCCATGATTATAAAGCAGGTGGTTGATTTCCACTTACCTTGAAATCATGAAGACCTGTATAAATCCCACATCTTTGTATACCAACCTTTTTTTTTTTTTTCCTTCGCAAACTAATGGCTAGCTGTGGAAAATGCTTTTCTCTCTTCTGATATAGGTGTGTGTCTGCTGTTTTCTGTGTGTTGTGTCCGAAACGTCAGAATCTTCATGCTTTGGATGAGCAAGACATTGCAAATGTGTTGTTTCTAAAGCTGGTCAAAACCAGATATTGAAAAGAAATTTGCAATGAAAGGGAAGAATTAAAGTAGTTGTATTATTTTCCTTTTTGTTTACAGCTGTCAATGCAGGGCTATCCATATCCTGATGCTGCCAATCCAAACAGCAATTTTAAAATCCCCAAATCTAAGGGGACCATTCCAACTTCTACCAAGTCATCATTCAGGAAAAAATCTCCATCTTCTCTTGCTGCCTCTTTCCAGAAAAGTCTAGTCAAATTTCTTTTGTAGGTCTGAAAAGTCATGCATTTACTCATAAAAAAAGGGATTAGCATTCTTCAGTGGCTGAAGGAGAACAAGGAAATGAGAAGAGGAAGGGAAGGGAACTATTTGGCAGAACATCCCAGGTAAAGCTTGTCTCAACAATGCCTTTATATCCGTGTGTGGTGCTATCTCTGCTCAGCAAAGCTCAGGATGCTTCCCTAAATCATTTCAAGTAAGCTCAGCCAGAACAATGCATCAACATCAGAAAAGCAGATGCTAAACAGGGACCACTTTGGGTGTAGCAGGTGTTAGTGTGTGGGTGCAGTGAATGTCCAATGATGTAATCTCCCAACCATTCATGTCAGATAAACACTATGTTCTTCATTGTAGGCCCTTCCTGTGGGAAGTAACTTGATATCGTTAGTCTCTCTTCTCACCAATGACTCTGGAGAACCTCTGTTACTGTTCATCACCCCACCATGTTGAACCACTCGATGTGAACTGTGAGACAGACTGGCTGGCCACGTGTCTGTCCTCAAAAGTGCCAGGAAGTGAAGACATGTCTCGCCATGCTCCACCTACCAAAGGCCTTTTTACCCATAATTAGCTCTAAATCTGGAATCTTCTAGGTAGTGGAACAAGGACACTCCCAAACAGGAAGGACTGCCAGTGCCAGCTTCACTTCACTGAATGCACAGGCACTCCGTGGAA